TTCGTGCCCTGGGTCTCAGTTCCAAAGCCCTCAAGTCCAGGATGCGGGCTGTAGCCCAGTTCAGTATTCGCAGAAATGGCGCCTTTTGCACCCTGTTCCCGTGTCCGGGTGCCTGGTTTCTGATTACTCAGTGAGGGACATTCACCTTAGTGAGGGCCCCCACGCGTCTCCCCGCAAGCGTAGGTCGCAGGCACGGGGACCTGGGCAGCCGTGATCCGTGTATCCTTTTCAAGTGCTCCGCTTTTCCACACAAGCTTACCGGCTGGCCTGGGGCTGTTTGTAGGTCTCCAGAAGCCTTTGATTTTCTCTAATGGCACCTGGAGCCACTCACTCACCTCCGCAGTGAATCCTGCAGGGTTCTCCACAGCTCCAGTTCACGGGGTGTGGTGGCTAAAATAGTTCCTTTCCACTCACAGACCCACTTGATGCATAGATTGTTCTTGTTGGGTGTTTTAGTTTTTTGTTTTTTCCTCCTTTCTGTTGGTCAGAGAGTGCTGACTTTGTGGATGGGGGAGGGTAGCCCCATGTGTTTATCTTTTTCTTGACTTTCTTTGCTTTGGGTAATCAGTCTTTAAAGATGTTATTGCAATGAATGTCTTTAAGTGTTTTACCTATATTTTCTTCTATATATTTTATGGTTTCAGGTCCTATGTCCAGTTCTCTTATCCATTTTGAGTTGATTTTTGTGCATGGTGAGAAGTAGTGGTCTAGTTTCATTTTTTTGTATGTGGTGGTCCAGTTTTCCCAGCACCATTTATTGAAAAAACTGTCCATATTCCATTGTATATTCTTTGCTCCTTTGTCAAAGATAAGTTGTCCCTGTAAGTGTGGTTTTATTTCTGTGCTCTCTATTTGGTTCCATTGGTCTGTGTGTCTGTTTTTGTTCCAATATGAAACTGTTTTAATCATTATGGCTTTGTAGTTTAGCTTGAAGTTTGGAAGTGTGATACCTCCTTTCTCCTTTGTTTTCATCTGTAGGGCTTTGGATATTTGTGTTTTTTTTTGTGGTTCCAAATGAATTTCATCAGTATTTGTTCTATTTCTTTGAAGAATGTCATTGAGATTTTTACTGGAATAGTGTTGAATCTGTAAAGTGCTTTTGGTAGGATGGACTTTTAATAATGTTAATTCTTCCAATCCATGAGCAAGGGATGTCTTTCCATATCTTTATGTGTTTTCTATTTAACAGTGTTTTATAATTTTCTTTGTATATGTCTTTTACCTCTTTTGCTAGGTTTATTCCCAAGTATTTGATTTTTTTTTGTTTCAATTATAATAGGGATGGTTTTCTTGATTTCTTCTTCTTCAGACTGATTGTGTATAGGAAGGCTACTGATTTTTGTGTGTTGATTTTGTATCCTGCTATTTTACTGAACAAATCAATTATTTCAAGTAGTTTTTCTCTGGAGTTTTTAGGGTTCTCTACATATATTTCATATTGTCTGCAAATAGTGATAGTCTTACTTCTTTCCCTTTTGGATTCCTTGTATGTCTTTCTCTTGTCTTATTTCCTGACTAGGACCTCCAGTATTATATTGAAGAGCAGACGTTAGAGAAGATATCCTTGTCTTGTTCCTGATCTTAGAGGAAAGGCCTTCAGCTTTTCTCCATTGAAAATAATATTGGCAGTGGGCTCGCTGTATATGGCTTTTATCACCTTAAGGTATGTTCCTTCTATCCTGAGACTTTCAAGGGCCTTCTTCATAAATGGATGTTAGACTTTGTCAAATGCTTTCTCAGCATCTATTGATAGGATTATATGGCTTTTATTTTTCTTTTTGTTGATGTGTTGGATTACACTGATCAATTTTCATATGCTGAGCCATCCTTATGCCTCTGGGGTGAACCCACTTGATCGTGGTGTATTATCCCTTTGATGCATTGTTGGATTCTGTTGGAAAGGATTTTGTTGAGGATTTTTGCATCAGTGTTTATTAGGAAGATTGGCCTGCAATTTTCTTTTTTTTTTGTGCTGTCTTTGTTTGGTTTTGGTATTAGTGTAATGTTGGCTTCATAGTATGTATTTAGTAGTAGTCCTTCTTTTTCAATTTTTTGAAAGAGTTTGTGTAGGATAGGCACTAATTCACTGCTGGATATTTGGTAGAATTCATTTGTGAAGCCATCTTGGCCTGGGCTTTTGTTTTTGGGGGTGCTTTGATTACTGTCTCAATTTCCTGTTTGTAATTGGTCTGTTTAGGTGCTCTATTTCTTCTTTGTTCCACTTTGGATGATTATATCATTCTAGGAATTTGTCCATCTCTTCTAGGTTATTGAATTTTTTTGCCTATAAGTGTTCATAGTAATCTATGATTATTCTTTTGATTTCTACTGAGTCTGCTGTGATTTCTCCTCTTTCATTTATAATCCTATTTATATGTGTTTTCTCCCATTTTTTCTTTGAGAGCCTGGCTAGAGGTTTGTCTATTTTGTTTATTTTTTCAAAGAACCAACTTTTGGTTTCATTGTTTTTTTTTTGTTGTTTTTTTAATTTCTATTTTGTTTATTTCTGCTTTGATTTTTATTATTTCCTTTGTTCTACTGGCTTCAGGGTGTTTTTTTGTTGTTCTTTTTCTAGTTCTTTGAGATGTGAGATTAGGTTGTTTCTTTGAGTTCTTTCTTGTTTGTTGATGTGAGCCTGTATTGCTATATATTTTCCTCTCATATTGCAGCTTTTGCTGCATCCCATACATTCTGGAAGTGGTGTCCTCTTTGTCATTCAACTCAAAGTATTTTTTAATTTCTTCTTTGATCTCCTCATTAGTTCAGTGGTCTTCCAGTAGTGTCGATTTCAATCTCCATGAAGTGGGAGGGTTCCTTATTTTCTTTTCATGATTTGTTTCTAGTGTGATGCCTTTATGATTGGACAAGATAGTTGGAGTGATTTTGATCTTCATGTATCTGTTGATGTTTGTCTTGTGGCCCAGTATGTGATCGATTCTGGAGAATGATCTGTGCGTGTTGAGAAAAATGTGTACTCAGATTTTTTTGGGTGCAATGTCCTATAGATGTATGTTAAGTCCATGAGTTCTATGTCTTTATTCAGGGATCTAGTGTCTTTGTTTATTTTTTGTCTCTTTGATCTGTCCATTGGTGAGAGTGGGGTGTTGAAGTCTCCCACTATATATGTATTTTCTTTAATGTCTGCTTTCAGAGCTAATAATAATTCTCTAATATATTTTGGTGCTCTTTCATTTGGTGAGTATATGTTGATGAGTGTTATATCTTCCTGATGTATTGTCCCCTTGATCATAAAGTCGTGTCTGACTATGTCTCTTTTTATCTTTTTTAATTTGAAGTCTATTTCATCTGATAAAAGTATAGCTGTTCCTGCCTTCTTTTTTGGTCCATTTACTTGTAGGATTGTTTTCCAACCTTTTATTTTCTGTCTATGTTTTTCTTTTGTGTTTAAATGTTTCCTGGAGACAGCAGAAGGTTGGATTTTGTTTTTTAATCCAGCTTGCTATCTGTGTCTTTTTATTGATGAGTTTAATTCATTTACATTTAGAGTTAATATTGATATGTTGGCATCTTTATTTACCATGTTGTTTGTCTTCTTTGTGATTTTTTAAAAAGATTTATTTATTTATTTATACAAGCACTGAGTACAGTCAGAAGCGCAGGAGGGTGAGAGAATTCACCAGAGCCAGAGCGGGGAACAGAACAGGCAGACTGACGAAATACACTGCTGAAGGTAGCAGCGGGCGTGGCAGGAGAGGTCACCTGGCGGCAAAATATCAAACTGGTGCTGCAGAGGCCGCAGGCAGCTTCACAGCCCAGCGCTCAACTGCTGCGCCACCAGGGGAGGCCCTTCTTTGTGATTTTGTTCCTTGCTTTATTCTGTTCTTCTTGTTCATTCCTATGTTGGTTTTGGCTTTAGGACTTCTTGTAGAATTTTTTGGAGTGGGGGTTTATTTGTAATGAATTTCTGGAGTTTCTGTTTGTCCTACAAAGTCCATATTTTTTCTTCATAGAGGAAGAACAGCTTTGAAGGGTAAACAATTCTTGGTTGGCATTTGTGGTGTTGAAATTTGCTGAATATGTTACTCTATTCTCTTCTTGCCTGTAGTGTTTCTTTGGAGAAGCCTGAAGTTAACCTTATTAGTTATCTGTTTCTTCCTCCTTGCCATTTTCATTTTTTTAAATTCATTTCTCTTTTTATTCTTCCATCTTGTGACTTCTTTATTTCCTTCTTTGGAGTATCATTTTTGAATGATTCAATGATTTTGTTTCTCAGGATATTAATTTTTTTGAGTTCTCATATATCCTTGATCCACTTTTCTGTATCTTCTCTGAGTTCTTCAAATTTCTTTGTAGATAGAACTTCCATGTCTTTGTGATTGGATTTTGAATATTTGTTTTTATTCTGTGGTGTAGTATTCCCCTTGGAACTCCTATGGCTTTTTGTTGTGCTATTCTGTCTCCCCATTGTTTTCAGGACCGATTCTACTGCGGGTTTGGCCTCTGCTGGGCCTGTCTCCATATCTTCTATATGGGCTGCCATGCTCACCAGATGGCAACTAGCAGTTGCTGCTATCAGCCTGAGCCCTGTGTGGACCCAACAGGGGCCTGTGCTAGTTCCTGAGGTGCTAGTGGTTGGGCCTGATATTATAGTTACTTCTCAGAGGGTGGCTGAATGTCACGACTATTGGGCATTGCCATGGACTGCTTAGACTTGAGCCTGCCCTGGTTCCTGAGGCACTGGTGGGTGGCTCGGGGCTTGGGGCATTTCCTGGATGTTATGGAGTGTCACTGCAGTCCTCAGTGTTATTTTAATCTCTAATTAATCCTACAACAAAGTCTCCATCAAGTATCATTTATAAATCTTGATACCCCAACTTTAATTTCGAGAAGGTAATGTATAGCAGGTACAAATATGGGGCCCCACTTTAGTCACAGACACCAAAATATTCTAAGCAAATGGTGAATGATTTGATACAGTCTGTTGTGGAGAAGAATTACCAGGATGATTTTTTAGAAAACTTTTATGTTTAGTCCCTTACCTCAGCAAAATGACTAGATCTGCATCACAGGACAACTTTTCAAGTCCATGATTACCCTCAGTCCGAATGTAATGGATTTTCTCCCTAGAATTATGGGGAAGGAAAATAAGAATTTCATCCAACATATAAATTAACTAGTAAATCCATTTTTTGATCCCTTTTTTCTACTTCTGTATGGCTGAGCAGCAATATCCCAATACCCAGGGCATTTCATGTTATTTTAAGTGCATATTGTAGATTCTCATGGTACCCTTCAAGGGATAAAATTTCCTCAGATTCACTGAGACAGAATCTGCAGAATACATCACAGGCAAAGTTGCAATAAACACGATCAGAGAGCTGGATTAAAGCTGCTGAAGGGCTGCTGTGCCATGTGTCTTGGAAACCAAGCAGTGAAAGATTGATGCAAAACCTCTTCCATCTATGCCTGAAGGAAAATATGTACTTGCCACACTGGGCACAGATAGGGTCTGACCTGCAGGACACATAAGAGTCTTCCAGATCAGTCTGAACACAGGCATTAATTTCTGTTTAATTTTCATTCACACATTCTGACCCTTTTGCAACTTCCCATGCCAGCTTGGCAAATTATTCCAAGTATTATATGGATAAATAGTATTTATTTTGATTAAATGAATTTTGTAATTTGCTTCTCTGACACTAAAATATTGCAAACATCAGATCTATGGATAAATAAAATATTACATACATGAAATATTACAAACATTCATATTCTATGGTATGAATGCTCAGAGAAGTTAATTTCCCCTCTATTGAAAAGATGCAGCAGAAATCTGGGATGACTTAAGGATTGATTTTTTAAAAAAATGTTGGTTTTCTTTATGAGGGGTTAAATCCTTATTTTGAAATATTTTAGAGCCACTTGTATTTTTAAGAAATGTATACAGAGATATCAGGTATGCTCTTTCCTTAGTTTCCTCAGTAGATGGCTTTTTAAAAATCAATTTATAAAAATCTGCAGTCAAAATTTTCTTTTCTTTGATTATAATAAGATGAATCCAAATCTTCACAATAATATGCATATTTTAGGCAAAAATATAATGAATTGAACCTTTTTATGTGGTGATTTTTTTTAAAAGGTAAGTTTTTGGCTTATAAAAATACACAAAACATGACTATATAGCAATGTTTAGCTTCCTGATTCTTTTACGCTTGAGGAGGCCCAGAGAGCCAGTTCTTGTTCATTTTACCTTTTTAATTTCATAGCCCTTTAGTTAGTTTTTGATGTCACTGTGGACCTTCTGTATTTAATGAGATATTTGGATTCTTAATCTGGCATCCATAAATCCTCTAGGGTTTGAAATTAATGCAAAGACTTATGTTAACAAACGAGGGAAAGGGGAAGTCTATGATAGCTTTTATCAGATTCTCAAGGGAGTCTTAAAAAAGTTCATTAGCTTTTATACTAGATAATTTCCAAAGGTTATCCAATTCCAACATGCTCTGATTCCAAGTCCCCCCATATCTAGAAAATCATAGCCATGCAATTCCACACTGTGTGGAAACTGAAGATTTCTTGGATTTTGTTCCAATGTAATAAAGCACATAGGACTTGAAAAACTTTCCCTTTGGATATATATTTTACTTTTTTAACCAGGGGAATTTTTAATTTATTTTTGAAAATAATTTACTTGGGGGAGTCTCCTTGGTGGTTCAGGGGTTAAAATCTCACTGTTATCAAGCTAGTGCCAGCCACTTCTGCATGAGTTCGATCCCCGGCCAGGGAGCTAATCCACATGGCACAGCAGACCTCTCTTGTCTTGTCCGCTGCTCCCCTCAGCAGTGTATTTCAGTAGATCTGCTTGTTTTGTTCCCCACTCTGATGCTGGTGAATCTTCTCATTTCACCTGCCCCCCCCATCTCTGATCTATACTCCAGTTCTAGTCTGCATAAATAAATATATATATATATTTATATATTTATTTATTTATTTATATATATATATATATATATATACACATATAAAGATTTACTTGGAACTGTAGTGCCCCTGGTGATCTCAAATTTTTCCTAAACAGTGAACTCATTACTCTAGTGGTAAAATCAATAGCATGAAAATGTTTTCATAAGCATTTTATTCACTTTAAAAGTAATTAGGATTTCCTATTTTCAAAGTGGATAACCAAATTCTGAGGAGGCAGAGTAGGTACAAAGACAAAAAGAATATAGGCTCTGTTCTAAAGAGTATATAGTGTTGTAGGGAGACATACTACATGGAAACATTAGAGATAATAAGAAATTATTGCAATGCAAAAATGAATGCTATTTAACAAGTCAAAAGAAGTACTGAAGTTCACCTTGATAGCTGAATCTTTGTATTTGATTTGAGTCTTCATTTTGGTAATTAAATTATAATTTAAATGCATGAATACAATGTATCAGAAGTCCCATGGGGGCTTCCTGGTGGTGCAAGGGGTTAAGCACAGCACTATGAAGCTATCCACAGCCACTGCAGCAGGAGTTCAATTCCCTGGCCTGCCAGGGAGCATCCCACATGGTGCAGCAGACCTCTCCTGACTTGCCTGCTGCTCCCCTCAGAGGTGTATTTCAGTCAGTCTGCCTGTTCTGTTCCCCACTCTGTCTCTGGTGAATCCTCTCACCCCCTGCACCTCTGGCCTGGACCCCCATTCTTGTATGCGTAAATAAATAAATCTTTTTTGGGGCCTCCCCAGTGGCGCAGCGGTTGAGTGCTGGGTTGCGAAGCTGCCCGCAGCCTCTGAAGTACCGGTTCGATTCCCGGCTGCTTCCTGGCCACCGGAGGGGGGTCCCGCGTGGCACGCAGACCTCCTGCGTGGCACGCAGACCTCTCCGGCCGCCCACTGCTCCCCTCAGCAGTGTGCTTCGGTCCTCTGCCTGCTCTGCTCCCTGCTCTGGCTCTGGTGAATTCTCTCACTCTCCTGCGCTTCTGACTGTACCCAGTGCTTGTATAAATAAATAAAAATAAATCTTTTAAAAAAATAAATAAATAAAAAATAAAAAGTCCTTTTCTCTGTCTAAAGAGGTGTTGACCCACCTGTAGAACTAGCTGGAGAGACCCTGACTAACAAAGGTGAGGGATGAGTTTTTACCTGAGTGCATGGTTTCTTGCCAAGCTTGGCTGACGCTCTTGCAACATGTCAAAAATATTTGGCTGGCGAAGAAATGCCACAATCTTGTCATTATATGCTGAAAGAGATAAAAGTGCAGAGTTGTGGTTGAATCTGCAGCACAGAGAGAATTTCTCTGATGACAGGAAAATTGCTGTTTGATACCACGATTAATGTAGGACAGGTAGTGTACTCATCAATAAATGTAAGCTCTTGAGTTTTCTTTCTGTGATATGACAGTATTAGTAATTCTAATAAATAAAACCAAAAGTTAATTAGATGTAAGTAAATCATCCTTAATATTTCAGGAACTTAACTGAATGTTTACTCATCCTTATATGAACAGGTGAAGAATAAAGTCGCTCTTCCCTCAGAGAGTTAAACTGTCTTCTAACTTCTCCTCATTGTTTTACTATTGCTATTATGGCAAAATATTATTTATGCATTCAAAGAAATCCTTTTCTGAGCAACTGACACTTCTAACTATGGCTATGGGTTAATTTTCCAGGAGTGATAATGAATTATCCAAATATATTTAAATTTTATTTTTATATTCCCCAAACAATTGCAATCCCCTTATTTTGACCGCAATCCCTCCTTTCCCCGCCCCTCACCCCCCATAGAGTGTCTCTGGTTCATAGTTGTTGATTTTGATTTTTACTTTCTTATAGTTATTCTTTTTCCTGGTCTCTTATTTAAGTTTTCTAGATTCCTGCTATGAGTGAGACCATCCGGTATTTTTGAAAGAGAGAGCTGATGTGGAAAGAAGACGAGGCTGACTTATCCCCATAAAAGGAGATATGTAAATTAAAAACTGAATGTAAAGTAACACAACTATCACCTTATTTAAATTATTCTCTCTGGGACTCAGGTTCAACTAAGAATTTACTGAATGGAATGAAGAATGCCATAAATGAAGGTCTGGAAGTGAGTAGAGGAGAGAGATGGAAGGGAAGAGCTGGGACAAAGTAAGGAGTAAGGGAATGCCTTCACAGAGGGCAAAGGAAGTTTGGGAACAAAAGGTAAGGGAGTATAATTTACAATAAAAGAGGAGAAAGAAGACACAGAATCTTGAAACCTAAAGAACTGATGATAAGAAGTTTTTCAGGGTACGTGTTAGGTTTCTAGGGATTCAAAAACATGATACATACCCAGTGGCAATGACTCTTGTTGATATTGACTTCGAATAGCAGCTACTAGGCTGTGTGCTGGCCTGGCCAGTAAAGAGGCTCCTCTGTTTCTAGAGACTTCTGAGGCCTAATTTCAAAATAAAGTCATTAATATTGGAAATTTGTCATTAATTTCAATGGTCTTTTGATATCAACTTTTCAATATGGGGGTAAAAGACCCTGAAAAGACATAAATTAAAAAAAGTAATAGTTAGAAAATAAGCCAGTGTTAGAAAATAAGCAAGTTTTAAAATTAAGTAGAGGGACTAATGTGCTCTAATATAGTTTTAAATAAAGTGTGTCAAATGTTATGACTGTTAATTAAATTAATATGCTGAACAGATTAAAGGTTCTCTTCATAAATAGAAATAAATTCTAGATATACATCCCAGTAAAGGTAGGTTTTTAACCCTCATTTTCAAATGGTAGTATGGGAGTTCAAAACTGAATGAGGAAAGGACTTACACTTATAAACAGCATTTATTACACTCAAATGGCCATTAAAACATTCTATTAAACCATTCTCTATGTTGGCTACTATTCACATATTTCATATTCTAACAAAATTTTGCATAGTAATGATATGAAGCTCAGTTTAAAAATGGGGACTCTGGGCCTCCCCGGTGGCACAACAGTTGAGCACTGGGTTGCGAGGCTGCCTGTAGCCTCTGTAGTGCAGGTTCAATCTCCGGCAACCAGGTGAGGGTCCCACATGGCACGCAGACCTTTCCTGCTGCCCGCTGTTCCCCTCAGCAGTGTGTTTTGTCAGTCTGTCTGCTCTGCTTTCCGCTCTGACTCTGGTGAATTCTCTCACCCTCCCGTGCTTCTGACTGTACTCAGTGCTTGTATAGATAAATAAATAAATCTTTAAAAATAAATAAATAAAAATGGGGACTCTGAGGTCCAGAGAAAATTGTCTTTCTAAAATTTTCAACATAAGAGATAGAACTTGGATTCTAATTAATGCTTGACTGCAAAGTACTTATTTACTTCTCTCATACCACTAGCCTGAATTCAATATCTTAGTTTTGGTTGGGCATTTTGACAAAACTCCATGGAATAAATGACTTTTTTAACTGAAAGTTTATATTTTTGATAATTTGTTAGCTCAATTTAAAATTTTAATAAATTTCCTAAGTTTTAGAGCATAGCAATGAGTTTTCTGCCATGACACCATCTACACTTTGTACCTTAAGACCCCTTTTCAGAGTAAACTATTTAAACTGTAGATTTTTCCAGTGAAGTACATTCACCAGAGTTATGGGGTTTTGTGTAGAGTATGACTCATTCTATGACATTTGGCAAAGCACACCAAAAAAAACAAAAAAGATTTAAAGACATGGAAGAATTTTAAAGATTGTTTTAACATTAGTCTTTTAAAGACCTCAAGTATCCAGACTAAGGGGAAAGACAATTCTCTCTAAAATCAGTATAAAACTGATTCACACAAAATTCAGGAGAGGTGATGAGATCCTATGCTACAAAGTCCACAAAGGTCGTCAACCCCAAAATAATGACTTAAGACTAGGTTATGTGCATACGGAAAATTAGAACATATAACTTAGTGTTTTTAATTAAAGCATGGTATTTGCTGATTTTCCATTGGGTTCTGCTTCCACAAACAGACAAGAATAACATCTTTGGTATGTCAAGACATGCTACCACTATCTCAATGTGGTAGTCTTTGAATAGCTCTTCTGGAAGTGCTTTCTTAACTAATGAATATGACTAGAAGAATAAGTTTTCCATTTAAAACCAAAATTACATGATATACTCAATACTGTTGTGGCCTGCTTCTCCTCAGACTTGCTATGACTATTCTTCTATGATGGGATAAAACCCAGATGCATTAGGGACTGCTTTTGGAATTTCTTTTCCTTTTGATAGTGAGATAGCTTTAATCATAAATGTAAACACAAAAATTCAAATATTTAGTTTTCCAGACCGCCCCCCCCTAAAAAAAAAAAGATGCACAGAACATAGTTTTCAGTGACTGGTAAAGTTGTTTTTTTTTTTTCTGTAGTGCAATTTACAATGTAAATTAGTGCTTTTTTGAAGCTGTGATTGAAAATTACAGGTTTAGATTGAATTTGGCTTACTAATCAGTGAATACTCTTCTTCAAAATGCCTAAGGCCTGATGATAAAAAGTTAAGTTCAAAGGTAAATCTCAAATGATGAATTTACATTCATCTCTAGATTCCTTTAGTACTCTAAAAATAGATCATTAACAAAGTTTTCAGAATTAACTAAAAAAACAAAAGCGATCCATGCTTGAGTTGAGATCTATGTTCAAGAGAAATCTATGTTCGAAACAAAGACATGATGCAATTTTTACTTCTGTGTGTAAGAGAATCTCCAGATACAGGACTATATTAATTCACCTTTAACTTTCCTTGCATCTGTGTCTGTGTTTTCTACATCCCTTATATCCTATTTATTACTTAAAGCTTGTTTTGATAGGTGTCTGAATATTAACTACTTCCAAATAAATCTCTATTCATGTGTGGGAGCATTTAATAAAGAAAAAAATAATCAAATTTAGTTAGGAATAAAGAAATCGCCTTCTCCAAAGGTGAATTTTCTGAATCCTGAATGCTGACTTTCTGTGTTTTCAGAGCCAATGAAATGACGTTTGTTATCAAAGAAACTCATAAATAGCAAAGAATGATTGAGAGTGACCTCTGCTTTTAAGGTGAATAGTCACTTTCTTTTCCCTGACTCATTCTTGACCTTTCCTAGGCGATTATTGTTGAGTTTATGTATAGCTTTCCAGAAATTTTCCATTGCAAATGATTTTTCTAATTTGACCAAGATAAGGTGGTAAAAGAAATGCAAATTATGTGTTCTATTATCTCTCTTTATTTATGCTTATATATAGTGCTAAATGCAGTATAAACAAGACAAGTTTCACTTCTAGTAATTTCCTTAGAGACAGATAAATGGGATCCAATATTTATATCTCCATATACTCTTACAATTTTTCTATGTCCAATTCCATCTGGACACTGTGGGGAGAGAGAATGTTTTGTTGGTCCTTAAATATATGGTAGATAGATTTATCGCTGTATTAGAATAGATACATCACTGTGTTAAAATATATTTCAAAGCATCAAATAATTATCTTTTAGTGCATAAAATCCTGTATTTCTGATAATTGCTTTCAGGAAACTTCTTGAAAATTTTCAGATGAGGCAAGAGTTAATACAAAAGATATTTAAGAGTATCTCCATTAATAACCTATTAGTGGTTTTGAGGGAAATTTTTATCATTTAGGATCTTGAATACAGAAATTGATTTAATTCTGTTCTTTCCTGCAGTTGATTAAAAACCACTTACTGAGAAACACTCAAGAGAATGACTCTTGAAGGTGAACATAAAATATTGATTCTTTAGGTTGGGGACTAAGAACATCTGTAGCTAAATTCCTGTTGCCCATGACATTTTACACAGAAAGATTGTCTTTTATAAATTAATCTTGATTATTTCTGAGTCACATATTTCCATTTACTTAATTGTCACTGATAATTTGATATACTGCCATTTTTATACTTATCAGAAACTTACTTAAAGACAAAACTTTAATCATCCCCAACTACTATCATGCTCCTCTAACCTACACACACACACACACACACACACACACATATATATATATATATACACACATATATATATTTTCAGGTGTGTGAGAGATTTAGAAAGTGATGAAAAGGGGGGGGGAGGATGAGTAAGTTAGGCCAGGGAGAACCTTTAGATGTCAATGTAGTTTGACACCCAAGAAAGAAGAAATTGAAGAAAGTGTTAAATTGGAATAATCTTAGACCACAGCACAGATCTGAGAAAATACTGTTAGACTGATGAGAATTCCTCAATAAAAAGTTGCTGACTGGAGGAGTCCAGTGTGAGGTAGGAGTAGGCTGGCTGTACCATCTGATGCTATGCTCATTACCTATGTGTTTTTAATGGGACTATTATTCCAATTTCACAGACTTTGAGAATCAGGGCTGAAAGAAACTTAATGGCCACCTAGTCCCCTTGTTTTCATTTGAAGATGAGAAAACTAAATCCCCGGAAAGGGAAAGATGGCACAATGGTATATAGCAACTCTGTAGAGAAGCCAGAACTGGGGACTCCCATCTGCTCACTCAAATTCCAGGGACCCCTTTCTCTATGCCTCTCAACTCTCCAGAGTCTTTTTTTTAACTGGTATCCTTGGTTGTCCCTTTGCCACCTGACTTAGAACTTTCTTATCTTACACCTGGTTTGTGGGAGTGGTTCCTAAAGGGCCTTTCTCTCTCAGGTTTATTTTTGCCACAATCTTTCTTCCTTTTCTTGGTTTTCATTGCCATATTCCTTTAAAAATACTAGTTCACACTGGTCTAGGAGTTAGGACATCTGAGCTATGGACCTGCATTTCCTGTGTGACTTCAGCTCTTGAAATTTCAGTTTATGATGAACTATAAACTATGATTCTTAGCCAAAGTAGCATTACCACATAGGAGTGTTTGGAAGTGTTTAGTTATTCTGTTTTGTCGTTATTTTTGGTGTCTTACTTTTAAAAATGCCTTTGCTTAAGCATCTTTTAAACTCCTGTTGCACTTGTTTTAACATCTTTTTTGACACCTACTTATATTGTAATTTATCTTGTTACTTAACTGTGTGTACATTTTTGCCCTGGTTTGATAAGTAGTACACGGAGTTAGGTTATGTGTTCCCACAGCAGAAGAAACCAGATACATGTTTCCATAGAAACTAGGTCATTGTTACATCTGGTGTAACAATGGATATCTGGATATCTTCCACCTCCCAGGTTTTCTTTCCATTGCTTTTCTTGGTTTCCCTTGTGGCAGTGCAAAGCTACCAGAAAAAAGGATGCATAGAGAGATGAGAGGGGTTTGAAAATTTTATGAACAGAGTCAACTGCGGAGTGGTTAAATTAGGAAATATATAGATGACTGATGCACATTAATGCCCTTTGGCTACTATGTATCAGAGCATTTCTTGGCTAATACAGGTGACATTTTGTCAGTAATATTGATATTCAATGTAACTGTGCTTGGGATATTCAGTCATATTGATGCTCTTATCTTGTTCTTTCAAAAGAAAGGATTTAATATTTCTATTTTCAGGTTCATTTCTAATAAATGAAAGAGCTCTGTATCTCTGGGGGTTCAATTTACACTTGAGTAATTGACTTTTGTATTTATTGACAGTGAATCTGTCTGTAGCACTTACATTCTTTTATTATATTTAATTGATCTAAATTAAAATTAAAACTCATTAATATTAAAGAATGTGATATTTTACATAAATTAAAATGGCATATTTTAAGTTGATGCAGGCTTTAGAATGTATTTGCTATCTCAAGATAACACACCTTGTACTTTCTGAAGTGTTCTAAAAATGCCACCAGAGAAGGGGGCACAACTGGAAAGTTGGGGCACTGATTTCTGTGGCTTGTGAATGTCTCTGTGCCTGAATGTCTGGTCCTCACACCCACATATACTCAGAGATGTGTAACAGTCCCTCTCTGCCTGGTTACAATGATACCTGAGATGACCCAAGAAATGGAAAAATTCCTTTTACTACACTGGTATTAAACCACAAGTACCCTGGGTTAAAATATTATGTCTCTAAAAATATACAGATCACCTTCCTGATAAAGGAATAGAGTTTCTTTTTACACACTAGGATTTCAATAAAACTGGTAGCAATACGCCAGCAATAGAGCAATAGGCACTTCCTTTGTTTGCTCTCTGGAGTTTGTCAGGTAGGAAGATTATTCTCCTGTTTTCTCCTGAAACACCCACTGTAGCTTGCTCTGGAATGACTCCTTGTGGGGGCTGCACATATATTTATTTTCTTCCTATGCCACTCTGTTCATTATACTTCATTGTAATTCAGCTTTACAACTGTTTAATGGGTTCTTGTTGCCGTATTTTATCATATTCCAAGAGAAGGAGGTATAGATGACTTGGGAAATGTCAGTCAGGACATAAAAAATAATTTGCTCATGATATTGTCAGGACTGGCTGAAAGGAGAAAAGAGTGCTGTCTTTGAGTGTTGATTTGAGAGAGGAGGAAAGAGTATGGGATGTAAAGAAGTAATTCAGAAAGGCAGTGATTGAAATGCTTAAGAAAGATGACAGCTTTTTATGGTACAGCAGAAGGTGACCATAGTGGACACAGAGTATATAAAACCAGGGAAGTACACAAGGTAGAATGGTAACAGAGGATTGATGGGGCTAATTACCCCAGGTTTTAGTCCATGCACATATCACTGATGACTTTCCAGGATCTATGAAGAGTTAGAAGTCTAAAGGCAATCATAAACTGCAAAGCAGTTTACATTTAATCAGTAGGCCTTAAGAATAGTTTCATCTCCAGTAATATAGGGATCCTGACACTGAATTTTAAATTTCCTTTAAAGTAGACAGCTATTTAGTAGGACATTTGTAGCTAGAAATGGCTAGTAGCTACTTTTGTAGGACAAAAGGGAAGGCAGAAGGAAGGGTATCTGAAGATGGTCTAGGACGTTACGAGGGTAACCCATCATCATTCATTCTTCTACAAAACAGTATGGATCTGAACTGAACCCTCTGAGGAGCAAGCAACACTAGATCTAGCCTCTGGGAAATAGACAGCCTGGCAAAAAGAGGCAGGACCTATAAATCTGTGAATGGTGGGCAGGGGAAGAGGGCAGTGTTACCTCTCCAGCACTATAACTTCGGAGCCTCTGGAGGTGCTGTCGATGTGTCAGATGACTGGGAAGACGGCCATTCTGAAGTGGGATTCTGGGGTCAATGAAAGTGGTAGCTCGACTGTTGTGGTCCACAAAGAAAGACTGCAGACAGACCAGTAAAAAAAGCACACTGCATGAAAATGAACCAAAACGAAGTCAATACTATAAGGGAAAGCAATAGGATCCAGTCATTACATTTATTTCTTGCATTACCTTTATTTTGTATTAATGTTTATTGAGGTTACATTGGGTTACAACATTGTATATGCTTTGGAGGTATCGATTCATGCCTCTTCAGATGTATGTTACTATACCATACCCAAAACCAAAGCACCCATAATCGTCCTTGGGACCCCTCTCCTCTTTGCTCCCATCCTCAACCCTCTACTTCAGGAAACCTGGATATAGACTGTCATATTACTAGGCCTGATTTTAATTTAGTTTTCTATGTTCCTTTGTTTTGTTTCTTTAATTCCACATGAGTGAAATCACTAGGTATTATCTTTTACTTCCTGACTTATTTTACTTAGCACAATCTCCTCCAGGTCCATCCATTTTGTTGCAAATTGCACAATTTCATCTCATCTTTTTCTTTTTTTTTAAGATTTATTTATTTATACAAGAACTGGGGTACAGACCAGATGCATGGGAGGGTGAGAAGATTTACCAGAGACAGAGTGGGGAACAGAACAGGCATATTGATGAAATACACTGCTGAGGGGAGCAGCGGGCGAGACAGGAGAGGTCTGCCACGCCATGTGGGATTCTTGCCGGACAGCCAGGATGGAACCCACGCTGCAGAGGCTGCGGACAGCTTCACAGTGCAGTGCTCAACCGCCTGCGCCACCAAAGAGGCCCTCATCTATTTTTCTAGCTGAGTAGTATTCTATTGCTTATATACACCCCATCTTCTTTATCCACTATCTGTCATTGGGCACTTAGATTGTTTCCATAACTTGACTATTGTAAATAGTGCTGCAATGATCACTGATTCCCTTAGAATCTGTGTTTGGGTATGAGATAGTATCTCTTAGTGGTGTTGATTTATGTTTCCCTGATAATAGGTAATGATGAGTACCATTTTTTAATGAGTCTACTAGCCATCAGTATATTTTCTTTGGAGAAGTTTCTATTTAGCTTTCCTTCCCATATATTGACTGGAATATTTGTTTTCTTTTCTTTCTGTTGAGTTGTATGAGTTCTTTGTAGATCTTTAATATTAGTGCCTTGTCAGATGTATGAAGTGTGACTATCTTCTCCCATTCTATAATGTGCCTTAATTTTAGTGATAGTTTTTTTGATGTGAAAAATTTTTAGTTTGATGTCATCCCATTTGCTTATTTTTGTTTTTGTTTTACTTGCTGATGGAGTTGAAACACCAAAGACATCTGTGAAGTCATTGATGTGTGCAGTGTTTTGCCTAAGTTTTCTTCTTTGTATTTCATAGTTTCAGGTATTACACCCAAGTCTTTTGTCTGTTTTGAGTTAATTTCTGTGTATAGTGTGAAACAGTCTTCTAGTTTCATTCTTTTGCATATGACTGTCCAATTTTATTAACACCATTTATTGAAGAGACTGTCTTCCACAATTATATATTCTTTGTACCTTTGTTCTAGAGTGACTATCCATATAAATGTGGTGGGTTTTTTTTAGATTTATTTTTTATGCATACAAGAACTGGCGTAGAGGCCAGATGCGTGGGAGGGTGAGAGGATTCACCAGAGAAAGAGTGGGGGGCAGAATAGGCAGATCCACTGATACATACTGCTGAGGGGAGCAGCGGGTGAGACAGGAGAGGTCTGCTGTGCCATGTGGGATTCTTGCCAGCCAGCTGGGATTGAACCTGTGCTACAGAGGCTGCACACAGCTTCACAGCGCTGCGCTCAACCGGCTGTGGCAGCAGGGGAAGCCCATAAATGTGGTTTTATTTCAGGACTTTTCATTCCATTCTATGGGTCTGTCTGTCTATTTTCATTCCAGTATCATGTTACTTTGATAACTACAGTTTTGTGGTATAGTTTGAAGTCTGGGAGTTTGATGCCTGCATTCTTTTTTCGACAGGATTGCTTTAGCTATTCCTGTTTTTGATTCCATAAGTGTCAGTAATATTTTCTCTTTTTGCTGAAGAATGCCATTGGTACTTTGTTAGGGATTACATTGAATCTGTACATTATTTCAAGTGAGATGGCAATTTTAATGCTTATTCTTCTAATCCACGAGCAGGGAATATCTTTCCATTTCTCTGTGTCTTCTATATTGTTTTTATTATACAGTTTTATTATACAGTTTTATTATACAGTTTTTATTATACAGTTTTTTTTCCATCCTTTCTTAAATTTATTTCTAGATATTCAATTCTTTTATATGTAATTGTGAATGGACCATTTTCTTGACTTTTTTCTCTTGTAGTTTGTTGTTTATGTATAAGAATGAAACAGATTTTTGTGTATTGATTTTGTAGTCTGTCACTTCATGGTGCTCTTGTTTCTAGCCATGTTTTAGTGGAGTCCTTAGGTTTTTCTATGAATATTACCATTTCATCTGCAAATACTGATAGTTATTTTTCTCTCCCAGTTTGAATTCCTTTTATATCTTTTCTGTGTCAAATTGCTTTAGCTAGTACTCCAAATACTATATTGAACAGCAGTGGTGAAAGTGTATAACTTTGTCTTTCAGATTTTCACTGAGTGTGGGTTTGTTATATATGACCTTTATTTTGTTTCAGTATATTCCTTTTATCCCCATTTTCTTGACTCTGTTTTATCAATTTCTGTATGTTCATTAAAATATTTGCACTTGATCTTAGCCAAAGACCAAGAAGCGATCATCATTAAAACATTTAATAGCACTTATTTAAAGTGAGCAGTTTATCAAAAACTTAGAGTGATACATGCATATGTGCATAATGATATGTATAATATCACACTGAAACATAATGATTTCAAAATGACATTTTACTAATATTGACCATATTGAAACATTTTCTTGTCAATAAATGAAGGTGATGTTTATTTTTAAATTATTTTTGTATTAAGGTAACATCTGCTAACAATTTTATAAATGATTTAGGGGAATAGGTCCACTCCTCTTCAGATCTATGACACTACATCATACCTACCAGCAAAACATTTATAGTCTTTTACCATAGATGATGGGATTTCCCTCCCCACTTTGTTCTCACCTACACCCTCCTCCTCTAGTATCCTGAATTCTACTGTCATCTTTTAATATAGGGTTAGCTTCAGTTAGTTTTGTCAGTTTCTTTGTTTTGTTTCACTATAAGCCACAAATGAATAGAGTAATTTGGTTTTTATCTTTCAGCTTCTGATTTATTTCACTTAGTGTAATCCCCTCTAGAAACCCACTCATATTTTATTTTATTTTATTTATTTATTTTTTTAAATAGAGGCATGTTTTATTTATTTGTTTGTTTGTTCATTTTGTTTATACATGCACTGGGTACAGTCAGAAGCGCGGAAGGGTGCGAGAATTCACCAGAGCCAGAGCGGGGAGCAGAGCAGGCAGAAGGACCGAAGTACACTGCTGAGGGGAGCTGCGGGCGGCAGGAGAGGTCTGCGCGCCATGTGGGACCCTCCTCTGGTGGCCGGGGAGCAGCCGGGGATCGAACCGGCGCCGCAGAGGCCGCAGGCGGCTTCGCAACCCAGCGCTCAACCGCTGCACCACCGGGGAGGCCCCCACTCATATTTTAGCAAGAGGCAAGATTTAATCTTTTTGTTTTTATAGTGGAGTGGTATTCCATGTATATGGAATTAAACACATCTTTATAATTCACCCCTCTCTTTCTTCACTTAGGTGGTTGCCATAATAAGTATTGTAGATAATGCTTGTAGATAATAAATATTATAATTTCTTGTGAAATGCTTTCTTTAAATCTATTGATATGATTGTATACTTTTTATCTTTTCCTTTTTTTGATGTAGTGAGTTATATTGATTGATTTATACATGTCAAACTATCATTGCATCCATAGAATAAATTCCACTTGGTCGTTATGTATGAACTTTTTAATATATTGTTGGATTCAGTTTGCGAAGACTTTAATGAGGATTTTTGCATCTACTTTCCTGAGGGGCACTGGTCTGTAGTTTCTGTAATGTCACTGACTACTTTTTGGTATCAGAGTGATATTGGTTTCATAAAATATGTTTGGGAACATTCCTCAAGTTTTTTGAAGTTTTTCAAAAAGATAAGTATTAGTTTTTCTTAGAAGGTTGATGGAGGGCCTCCCTGGTGGTGCATCAGTTGAGCGCTGGGCTGTGAAGCTTCCTGCAGCCTCTGCAGCACTGGTTCAATCCCCAGCCACCACGCGAGGGTCCCACATGGTGCGCAGACCTCTCCTGCCACCCGCTGCTCTCCTCAGCAGTGTACTTCCTCAGTCTGTTCTGTTCCCCACTCTAGCTCTGGTGAATTCTCTCACCCTCCCGCGCTTCTGACTGTACCCAGTGCTTGTATGGATAAATAAATAAGTCTTAAAAAAAAAAAAAAGGTTAAAAAAAAAAAAGAAGGATTGATGGAACTCACTGATGAAAATTCTGGCCCTGAGCTTTATCTTTGGGGAAGAGTCTTGATTACTATTTCATTTTCTTTTTGCTTATAATTACTTTATTCAGCTTTTCAATTTCTTTATGATTCAGTTTTAGAAGATTTTGTGTTTTTGCAAATTTGTACATTTTTTCTAGGTTATCCAGTTTAGGGGAATAATGGTGTTTATTATAGTTTTGGTTAATCCTCTGTATCTTTGAGTTGTCTGATATCAATTTTCTATTATATCTTATTCTGTTCATTAAATTTTCCTCCTTTTTTTCTTAGTGAGTCTAACTAGATGTTGTCTCTATTTCGTTTATATTTAAAAAGACCCTACTTTTGGTTTCACTTATATTTTGAACTTTTTGTTTCTTTTCATTTATTTCCACTCTAATTGTTTATTATTTCCTTCCTTTAAGTGGATTTTGTTTTATTTGTCCTTCTTGTCCCTGAAGGTGTTAGGTTTGATTATTTATCTGAGATCTTTCTTGTTCCTTTGTGTAGACCTACATTGCTATATAATTCTGTCTGAATATTGCTTTTGCTGTGCTCAGAGG